GACACTAACAAAATTTATTTTTGACACAGAAAATTCAACTAACTTTAAAAAAATAACTTTGAGTACAATCAAATAAATAAGCCCTAGATCCACTAAAAATATAAGATGGACTCCACAAAAAATTTTAGTTGAAGATGCCTTTTTTTTTTCTTTTTTCTTTTAAAATAGTGCATGATAATAATCCATTACGAGTTTTTCGCATCGACGACACAAAAGTTGTGTAGGACATAAGGATGGTTGTAGTTCGTAAGGTATGAAAAGACATTGGATTATTACAGATGGATAATTCTTGTTGTATATCACCTTGTACATCAAGGTGTCCATCATGGACATCCGGCACCCCCTCATTGGAGGGGGTGTCGATCCCACCAACCCTCCCTCCAATGAAAGAGCGTCAGGTGTCCATTATGTACACCTTGATGTACAAGGTGATGTTGCAGATAGGTAAGCACAATCATTCCGAATTGGTTAGTGAACTTACTTCTTCCCATGGATTGTTAACACTAGTTATCAGACCTTAATTTTTTATTTTTTTCAAACCCATTTCAATCACACTTTTCCAATAAAATAATTTTGCACATTTTTATTTCAATCAAATTTACATTTTTATTTTTTTGTTATATATTCTAAAAAAAAACTGTTCTTTACAAATTCTATTTTTCAAAAATTGGCGTTGCCCACAAAAGAATTAACGAAAATTTGTGCACATGTTTATCAAAAGTCTTAGAACCTCGCCAATAACTTATTCCAAGACTTGAAAAGAGAAATCGGCCGGTGTTCTTTCGTGAACCTACTGGCGAACAAAAACAGGAAGTCCCTTCTTCCTCTACGTCCCACCGAGTAGAAGAAGATAAAAAGGCTCGAAAGTAGGATAGAATCGGTTCTTCACAAACAACAGAAATTTTTTGTTCAAATAGGTGCTTAAAATATCACATGAAGAAAAGTTTGTTGATTTATATTTATATCTTGAACAATACGGCCACAACTCCATTACATGTTCTCAAACTCGTACCTTGAGAACCACGAGAATCCTTAAATAGACACTCTTCATCATTGGAAAAAGAGCACATAAACAATTTTTTTTGTTATTATTTTATTTCATCTATTCCATTATTGGAACATAGGAAGAATACACCTTACATCGCGATTTTAAATCAGACGAGACTTTATTAATAGTACATTAAAGAAATTAATTGAAATTAATCAAATTATAGCAACAGCAGATGGTCTCTGAAATCTACAAACCTTGCAGGAAGATGAATAGAGTGATGGAGTTTGATACTTATCTTCCCCTCCCATCATAGGCATTGGGACTCCTTTTTTGACAGGACTTATATATCCAGGCCTATAAGTTTTTCCAAGAATTCCCTCGACAAAATCAGACAAATTGAAGAACCTAAATTGTGTCTCCAAATGGGCAAACGAATCATCTTTTGGTATTTGATAATTATGAATCTTGTTTTCTTGTTCACCAATTGGAGTCACTCTTATGTCCATTTCTACTAGGCCATCAACTGTCACTCTTATTGTGTTAAGATCATCGGTTCTTTCAATTGTCGTTACTCTTTCTCGACTATGGAGTTTGCGTTCAGCTTCTCCATCTGTGGGAATATCGATTGTCTCCCCGTCCCATTTGACGATAAGGGCATCCACATTGTTGTCCCAGTGTGGGATTCTCTTGGCTGCAATGACAAGTGTGTGGGAGTCGAACATGATCGAGAGTGCTTGAACCCATGTGAAATCTCGTGTCCTCCCTACCGGCCTAGTACCAATGAAATGTGCATTGATATGAAGGTTTTCATCTGAGACAATGGCGAAATCACGTCCTTTTGCTCCGTGGAAGTAGAACATGACACCATCACCTCCAACAAAACGTGGATCGTAGCACAGAGAACCAAAGCCATTGCATTTAGGCTTTCTCCCTGCAAAAGAAAATAAGTAGATGAATGATAGCGAGAGTTGAATTGAGAACTTTTGCTTACTCTGATTGAACCAACTCGTCTTATATATTTGGATCAAAATAAAATGAAGTAGAAATGATTAATAGAGGCTGGCTTACACTTGCAAGTAACTTCACATTTGCTACTGCAATCAATAAAGCATCCCTTCTGCTTCTTGTTCTTCTTGGGCTTCCTCTCGGGGCACTGAGCTGGGCATGTGAGGGTCCTGAAATAGCAGGCTCCCCGAGCTTTGCAGAAAGCTCGTTCCTGTCCCGTCTGTGGGAGTTTAGGCAGCACATCATAATTAGTTGAAGCAGCATCATATGGATGTTTTTTACCATTGCCATTACCATTGTTACTGCCTCGGTTGCCATTTCCATTGCCATTGCCCTCGTTGCCATTGCCATTGTTATTTCCTACGTTTCCATTTCCATTGCCACTGCCATTGCCCGGGGTTCCATTGCCATTTCCATTTCCATTTCCATCGCCCTTGTTGCCATTTCCATTGTTATTCCCCTTGTTGTCGTTGCCATTGCCATTGCCCCCGTTGCCATTTCCATTATTGTTGCCCTCGTTGCCGTTTCCATTGTTATTGCCTTGAGCCAAAACTGTACGGATTTCCATGGAGACGAACAGGAGGAAGAAGGATAGTGCAATGCACAGCCTCCTTGCAGCCATCTCTAGGAAGTTTTTTGACAATTCTTGATCTTTTTTTCTGTGATTATCTGTTAATTGATACTATGAAAAATTAATGAACACAATGAGGAATTAGAGGGCACTTATAACTAGGAGAAAATGGCCATAGTGTTTGGCTTAATCTATGGGAGTTAACTTATTTCCAAGAACAAACAGCTATACACATCCATTTTCATATGATACTGGGGGGTTGGAGGGGGTTGACTTAGAGGGCTTTGATTAATTTAAGGCTATAAAAAACTAACAACATGCTGTTCTTGATTTGACTAGAAGAAACTCCATTTGACTACAGAAACATTCATTTTCAAGACTTCTACTAAATTTGTCATAGGGAAATATAGTTACTCCTTGTTTGGCATAACTTAAAAAGTTGATCAAAAGCTAAGTCAATAAAAAAAAATTAATTTTATCCATTTATTTTGTAGGACGCAAAATTTTTAAAACTTTTCAGCAACACATTTCATTAATGTTTATCAAAATTTACTAAAAATATGATTTTTAAAGGGGCTTAATTCTCGCGACTTGCTTTGCAAACTTGATAGATGGATTCCCATTTTCTCATAAGAATAGGTGCAGGTTGAGTACTCAGTTACAAAGAGGACTTGGCATTATATTGCTTTTTTATACTATTAAACGAAGTTCTATTCTTCCTATCAAACATGTCGTGTGAATGCATTGCAATCTTAAAAAGTGCAGTACTATAAGGCAAATTCCACCGACGAAAATAGTACCTAGAATTTAGTGGAAGTTACGCAAAGCATGAAGACAGAATAATGAAGAAGAGAGCACATGGGCCATCATCCATGAATTTCGCCATTGCAGTGTGTAATCGCGTGAGAGAAGTATCAAATCAAGGCAAATTTGAGTGACTTGAGTCGAACGTAAACTGCATTAAGTTGTATGTCATTTTCTGTGGCTTAATCTTAAACTCATCTACGATGCATTAACTATTTAGGTTAATAATAATCACTCTAGGATCGCGAAATGCTCGGTTTAAACTTTTTGAAGTCAACAACTTGTAAGATCCTTTACCACATGATGTACGTTTGTACTCTTGCTTTTGCATCACAAGCCTCTCTTTCAAGAAAAAGCGGTTCTTTGGAAGCCGTGCTAGCGCATCTCAACCGGATCCAAGCCTTTACAACATAAGGAAGTTCTTCCGCTCAGATTCTGAGTGTTACTTCTTTGAAAGTGAGCCGATCATCAAGCTCCTGGCCCAGCTCAAAGCTGGAGCTTTGACCTGGGTGTTAAGGCCTGTGCCGCATGCAGGCTATCCTGTGTGAGCCTTGATGGATAGGAGGTCGAAATTCATTATAAGTGAACCTTTTAAGCTTAGGCAAACATGCTCAAAAATCTCCTGCGTTCAGTTTAGGAGATCCAATTTCATGATATTCAATATATAGCCATAAAAGAGAAAGGAGTGAACTGAACTGGCTAATGCACAACCTCTGTTTCTAAGAGAAAATAAACATAAATAGCGTTTCACAAGCTCTGTATCAAATATTAGAATACTAACATGGCCCTTCCACTTTGAAAGAAGTCTATTGAATGTAAAAAGAATATCTGAAGCAATGGATTGACTTTCTGACATTGAATACCTGCCGACGTAGACATCATCGTCAATTCTGGTAACAGGAAAAATTACGTGACAGAGATTAATAAATTTATCATCTCAGGTTGTAATGTTATTTCTTCTGTCACTGTTGTTGGTATATAGGAAGGTCAAATATTGGCGGCTTTGGCAAGTGTAGATCCTCAGTCGACTGGGAGATACTGCTACTTGAAGCATTGTTGCTTATTTCACTTGTCATCTTTAAGAAATAACTATGCCTGGAGGAAAAGGACATGTCATAAGTATAGAAATTGCTAAAATCTGTTCAATACCTTGGCACGAGACATATACCATCTAGTGTCAGCAGTCAATTCAGGGTGAAAAGCAGTTGCTAGCAAGTTTCCCTGCTTTACCGCAACAATAACTTTATTCTCAGATCTGGCGTTCTCCTGATTCGGGAAAAGGTAAATGATGTAAATTGAAATGTCAAATGAATCAGGAAGCTTGCTATGAAAAGAATTAACATGATCATAATAAATAACTTAGGGACTAAGCCATGATCCTTCTTACTAGTGCAGTAAGAAACAGAATAGAATCTAAAACACACCAAGCAAACCCACAGCTTTATCGTGGTTCACCTTCAATGCAAGAGCTATGTCCACTTGCCACTGCAGGTTTCCATGAGAAAGAGAACAAGTTTTTTCCCCCGCACCTCTCACACAGTAAAAACCAGCCCCCTAAAATCCTCTACATATAGGAGGAATAATTGGACGGTTTCCAGTATGGTTAGGACATATGGCAATGTTTAGTTACTTGAAGGACATATGGCGGTGCTTTCGTTGCTAGTTATTTGTTACAATTTACAGATAAAGTGAAACCTGAAAAGGATTATCCGATACCAAAATAATAATGAAAGAAATTGGTTGTTCTCGGGCATAGAAACAAAATGGAAGTGTTGAACTGACAGCTAAAGCAGCTGATAGATTGCAGTAGTCTCAACTTATACAATAATGACTACCTGAAAGACAATAAGCATTGCATGCTCTTGGGTAGAACTCAAGATTTAAATGCATGGATTTGTAGAACAGAATCCAACTAATGCACCAATTTATGAAAACCAATTCAACTAATGCACTATATGGATATCACAGCGTCTTTTGCAAATCTATGATATTGGAGAAGAAACATACAATAGAAAAACCTATTGAGAGTTCCTGTCTGATATGTGAAAATCTCCACTTCCAAGAAATTGGAGAAGAAAACGTAAGAGGAATGATTTACTAGATGATGAAAATAGTTCCGCACCTCAACAAGGATGTCTAAAACAACACAAAGCTCATTTAGCTCCAACTACTAAGAAAAGGTTTGGTCGGAGTGAAGTAAAGTTGGGAAAGTAATGCTAAATAAGTTTAATCTAACATTTGGTATTATCTTATGAAACAACTGTAGAAGAATCATGTCCAAATACTAAGTTGCCACACAAGTGCATTCCCTTACTGGCTAATTGCTCAGAATGACATAAACAAGACAAGCAAAAAACAGATTAAATAGTGTAATTTGGAAGCAAAGACCAGTAATGAATTAAATGAAAATTTTACACCAAGATATTATTGCCTAAAAATAATACATTTCAACATTCAATTGAGAAGTGCCAAAAACGCCGTCAACCCTTCACTAGTAATGAGATTAAAACACGAAACAGAAAGCAAATCTTAAATCCCTGTGCATATAATTATCTCACTTCCAATACGTGATACGCCAACAGAACCATCGACTATTTCCCTTGTTTAATCATTTGCATAAGTTTAAAATAAAATATTCAGAATCTAATTTTGGCCCCCTACATCTGTGCATAGGTTGAAACTGGGAGGTGCTTGACTAAGCAGAAACCCTTGGGCTCGTGTAGTGCAAAGGAGAGGGGATGAAAGAAAATACCTTTGGGAAGCTTACTGAAGAATATAAATGAAGATACAAGTGATTCTTAAAGAGTGCACACATGTCATTCTCTATGATTAGATGCATGTCCATCAGAATGTTGTAGAAAGAAAAACAGAGAGGAGACAAGTGCAACATCATGTTGTTTTTGCTTTCCAATTCGAAAAGAATGAACCCATGGAGCAGTGTCCCCACCTCCCGGCAACACACGGAAGCACGTGTCCATTAATAAGAAACTGAAAATAGCATCATAATTTGCCAGACAATAGTTTATTGAGAGAAAGATGTGCCTGAATTAGGTGGCACATAAAAATTATGGTTACATCTGGTTTCAAAAGATGCATCAGTGTGTCACATTGTTCAATTCATCTTCTTTCGTGAAGACATCTGTAAGACTCTTTCACTCTTAAATCTTCATTTGCAGAAGATATAAATAGTAACAACACAGAACTGTATGTATATACACACAATTTTATATTTGAAAAATGCTATCTGCTTGTTTTTCCTCGAGTACTTAAAGTCCAATATCAACACTGCATGGATAATTTTCCTAGAGGTTGACGCTAAGATGATCTTTACAAAGCTACATTTGCCAAACACACAGCATCTAATTGAAACAAGAATGCTCAAGCACAATCATTATATGAAGCCTCAATACATTATCGAAAGGAAACATACAAATTTTGAAAATAGATTATTCTGGCATATAAGATACTTAATGAGAAATTTGTCCACTAAAAAAAGATATAGGCAAAAGCAGACCTCTTGGCTTTCAACAGAAGGACCAGAGTGAACATCTTTTTCCGATAGAGTGGGAATATCTGCCAAAACTTCTACTTCTGGACCTACTTCAAGGATCCCTGGAGCGCGAATAAAAACCCCACGAAAACTTGGAGGACCTCCTTCTTCAGCCGCAATTTTGGGAATCAAAAGCTCCGCCTCAAAGCTTTGAAGCTGAAAAAGTTGGTTTGGTCAGGAAAATAGGTGGCACTGAGTGGAAATAAACTTGAATCTTATATATAAGCCATACCGGGGAACAAAAATATTAAATCAGATAATCAAGTATATGCTGAACATGTTTGTCAAAAGCTTTTCCCTGAAAAATCATTATTTCATATACAAATTAATCTAAGACACGCAATGTAACTGTGGCTAAAGTATACTAAAGGTGAATTAACCTTCAATTTAGAAAATGCACTAGACCAGAAGATGCCACCAAAATCCCTAATATTGCTCCCATATGAATCGTGGTTAAATGTTCTTGTTTATAAGAGAACACCGATAAAGTGTTCTGACCTCAAATGTACATCATCCGACAGTGACACACCATTAGCTACAAAAGAATATGTAACATTTGTGTTCATAGGACAACTGTTAGTTAAATATTGGTTTCACTTCATTCATGGATACTAGTACTAAAATCAAGGTAGAGAAGATGCTAGTAATACCTGACTGCCAAAGAAGTTTCGATGAACCATACAGTCAAGGCCCCCAATTAGTTCCTGCCCTCCAGTTTTCTGCCCTGAAAGGAATGCGCATCAAGTTCAAAACCAAATAATATGTGGCATCTCATTCATTTAGTCCATGCCATTTGACAGTGATATACAAAAGGGGTCTCCCGAATAGTGATCACTAATCAGAAATGGGAAAGGTAAGGGGTCTTAACATTAATAAAGAACTACACAAATTCATAGAACTCCCTGAGATAAGTTTATGGAAAAAGATACCAACCTGTGGCCTTGTTAGCCAAGAAAATAAGACCTGCACATGTACCCCAAACCGGTTTCCCCGTTTTGACAAACTCGCGTAAAGCAGGAAACTGCAATTTTACAAGATAAAAGCTCCAATATATCAAACCACCTTCATATAACAAGTATGTGACAACATTGGCAGGGCATGGCGAAACTGTAATTCCAAATAATAGTATGCTACTTATCTTCTCGTATTTATCTAAACCTGTGGAATGCATACTCTTCATCAACTTCCAATTAAAATGATTAAACAATGTTAATTTTCTTGGTTCTATTATTAAGGATGATAGTCATTTCACAAGAAAAAGATTAAGCCTATGTTTAGCTCATGTTTATAAATTATTCATGAATACTCAAGAGACTCATTTCTATTTATTTATAATTTAAACTGTTTATAAACACTCCCCAGACATGCTTTAAGTCAAACAGAAAAACGGGGTAATCAGCACAGCTTCAAAAATCACTACACAGTAATATACTATTCCAAATCACAAAGGAAGCAAGATTTTGAAACTAGTTGCCCATAATACTTGGTCTTCCCTATTACATATCCCCGACTTGCAGGTTTTTACATTCCATGTTGAACTCCTCTTTGGTATAAGCGTTAGTGCGTGTAGAAATAATAAAAAAGAAACATACAAGGTTATGGTACTCGGCAAGCTTCGCCATGGTAGTGCTCTCGCCTCCTGGAATAATGAGGGCGCTAACAATCTGCAGCTGCTCTGGCTTCCTTATCTCAACCCCTTTCACTCCCAGCTTTCTCAACGCTATGCCAGCCACACACACACACACTAAGAACCCATATGAATGAAAATGAAAAATCTAACATAATATTCAACGCCATTTTTTTTCACAATTACAAATATGAAAATAGTAGTCAAATTCGAATTTCAAATAGGGTTGTTTAAAAAGACCAAAATTGCGTCTTCTTTTCAATTCCATTCAAGAATTCTTACAAGTTTCCACCACCTTTGACACCCCGTTAAATGGACAAAACCTTTTTCTTGACAACAAGTATATGTAGAGAGGCAAGATGAATACCTGCTATGTGTTCGTTGAATGACCCCTGTAAAGCAAGAACCCCCACGGCCATTTTACACAAAGTAGAGAGGGATTCAGAAATGTTAACGAATTGTAAAGATTTTTTATTTAAAATACAAGAGTCGTGTCCTAGTTTGCTTCACGGGAATAACCGTAGTGGTAGCCGCATGTAAATTTCTGTGTTCGCCGCCAGACGTTGGATACCAGGAACTGGGTCCCAGGAATCCTCTCCCAGGAATTCTTCTTTTCAAGGGTAAAAACATGTGTTTGATTGCATTTATTTTTTTATAAAAAATGTTAATTTTTTACTTAAATTTTTGCTTTAAAATGTTTGGTTGTTATTTTTTTTCATGAAAAATATTTTTTAATTCTTAAAAATATGTTTAATTTTCCTTGTTTTTAAGGAAAACATTTTCTTTGTGGGAAGTATTTTTGTTTTCTTCAAAATAAAGAAAATATTTTCTTTTCTCCGATATATTTACCGAAAAGAATAATGTTACTTTCCATTACTTACTCGTGCTTACAATTGACAATACCCGTGGCATTAAAAATTATCAGTTTAATTAAATAAATCACATAATTTTACAAATATATTACACGTCATATAAATTGATGTTATAGCACTACTAATACTAAGTGAGTGTTTGACACTCAGTTTAATGAGTTGAAAATTTTTGGAATAATGATTGATGAGAGAATGTGTGGTTGGAAAAGTGATGAGAAATTTTAGATTTGTGTGTAATATTATTTTATTTGGAGAAATGTGGTTGAAATGAAGAAAGAGAAAAAAAAAAGAGAAAGAGAATACGTGTTAAACAAGGGCTAAATAATATTTTTCTTACCTTAAGTTTCTTATTGGTCATTACACACTATTTTGCTTCGACCTAATTTGTTAAAATGTATCAGTTATATCACTCAATTTGTCATCCATTATGCAACGGAGTAGTGTACGTGGCAGGCGGAATTTTAATGTCAGAGAAGGTGGTCTAATTTAAATGGATTTTGCTGGTCTTACAGTTTTGGCTCACAGTAGGATTCACAATCTTTTGAATTTGTTGACGTGGCAATGACCCGACCCAACTAATCAAAAACTCACCCGGCCCAGTGCGATTGAAATTCGATAATTTCCCAAAGGATCCCATTTCCCACCTTCCCCAAATCTCCCCCAAATTTTTCACCACCA